GAAGAGCGGGGCGCGGGGCTCAGGAGGCCGCGCGTGGTCAGGATGCCCCCCTCCCTCCTCGGACCCCCCCGCACCCCCGGAGGCCGGGGTTCGTCCCCCCACTCCGCGCCCTCCCCCCCCCATGCCCAGCCGGAAGACTTTGGCTTTTTCCAGGAAATGCCGTGCAGGGGTAGGAAGAGGGGGGGAGGGGGACCCCAGCAAGCCTGAGAGTCGAGTTCCAGCCGTCGGGGCGGGGGCGGGGCGGCCTCGCCCCTCCCCCAGCCCCCCACCCCCGCCTGCTCCCCCCGCAGTTGGAGAAGAGCGTCAGGCGCCTGCGGGAGAAGTTTCATGGCAAGGTGTCCCCCCAAAAGGCGGGGGCTTTGATGAAGAAATTTGGAAGTGATCATACGGGTGTGGGACGCTCCATCGTCTACGGTGAGCCCCTCAGGGGACCCCCCCAACACACACACCCCTCCATCCCGAGGGGGCGTGGCTTTGGAGGAAGTGGGGGGGGAGGAAGACCCCCCCACCTCCCAACTCCTCAGCACCCTTCTAGAGCCCTTCACGTCTTCCCCCCAGGTGTGAAGCAGAAAGATGGACAGGAACTGAGTAAGGACCTGGATGCCCAGGTAACCTGATCCCTCTGCGTAAAGAAGGGGGGGAAGGGGCGCAAGGGCAGAGGGCGCCCCGGCCAGCCACGGACCCCGGGGGCACAGCCCGCCCACCTGTCTGCAGCTTAACAGCCGACCTCCTCGCTCTTTAACCTTTCCATCTGCTCCCAGCGTGAGGGGCCTGCAAACAGTAGGTGCTCATTACTGTGCTGATTGAAGTAAGGCGGGAAGAAAGGAAACCAGAATGGCTTTTGAAGATCGCTTTCCACCCAGGCAAGGGGGGGCTCGGAGAACCACTTTGGTGGTTGGTAAACTGGACTTAGCCTGCCTGAAAAGCTCACCGCAGTTAATAATTAAATAGTATAGCCAGACGCTTGTTGGCTCTGGCCTGTAATCCTAGCTACTCAGGAAGTTGAGATCTGAGGATCTTGGTTTGAAGCTAATCGGGACAGAAAAGTCTCTGAGAGACGCTTATCTCCAATCCGATGTGGAGCTGTGGCTCAAAGTGTTAAGAGTGATATATAGTCTCGAGCAAAAGACTTCAGGGACAGCGCCCAGACCCTGAGTTCAAGCCCCAAGACGGACAAAAATAAAGAATATGATCAACTATGTGTTAGAATAAAATTGTAAAAATAGACTGGGCTCCAGTGGCTCACATCTATAATCCTAGCTACTCAGGAAACTGAGATCTGAGGATCACAGTTCAAAGCAAGGCTGCATAGGAAAGTATGAGACTCTTACATCCAACGAACCAGTGAAAAAAAGTCAGAAGTGGAACTGTGGCTCAAGCGGTAGAGTGCCAGCCTTACATGGGGGATTAAAAAAATCCAAATGAGAGATTGAGGTCCTGAGTTCAAGCCCCAGTACTAGCACACACAAAAAGGACCAAAGAAAGCGTTGACTGAGCACTGTCACAGGTTGCCCGGACTCTGGGTAAACTGGTTTCCATCCCAGAACACATTCATGTGGTCTCTTCTTCCCATTCTGCAGACTGGGAAACTGAGGCCCAGGTCACTTCCTGAGGCAGGAGGTGATCAGAGCTGGGACTGCAACGTGGTCAGCCAGATTCCACATCCCAGCCCTCAGCTAAAAGCAGAAAGCTCCCAAGACGTGTGCCACATTCGGATGGCATGTGGGCTTGGCCGGAGGGGAAAATGGGTGCAGCTGCCCAACATCAGGGAGATCTCAGATTCAGAAATAGGGGTACCTGGTGCCCACCTCTCAGGGCTGTTTGGACGGCTGGGGTCATACACCTGACTCAGAAGCAAGTCCTGTTCTTTGGGAGAAGGGGGGGGCTCCTGGTGGTTTGGGGTTCACCATTTTCATAGGGAGCTAGCTAGGGCCCCGTCTCCCCATTGGGAGCCCCTCCGGCCTTCCTTGCAGAGGATCCTTCCTTTGGGGAACAGATCAGAAAGCCATCTCCAAGCCAGCCTCTGTGGCTGACGCCTGTAACTACTCAGGAGGCTGAGATCCAAGGATCACAGTTCAAAGCCAGCCCAGGCTGGCCACCTGAGAGGTGCTTCTCTCCAGTGAACAGGCAAATGTGGGTCAAGTGGTAGAGTATCAGTCTTGAGCAAAACAAAAAAAAAAGCTCAGGGAAAGTTGCCTGGGCCTTAAGTTCAAGTGCCAGCCCTGGCACACGCACGCGCACACACACACACAAGCTGACTCCACATTCTCTGCCCCCAGGACCCACCAGAGGACATGAAGCAGGACCGGGACATCCAGGTGTGTGGGTATTGGCGCTGGGCTGGCCAGAGTGCCAGCTCAGAAAGGGGGGGGTGTGGTGGATTGAGGGGGTGACCTCCCCTCATCCCCCCCTCCCCTTCCGCAGGCAGTGGCCACGTCTCTCCTGCCGCTGACGGAAGCCAATCTGCGCATGTTCCAGCGCGCCCAGGACGACCTCATCCCCGCCGTGGACCGGCAGTTCGCCTGCTCCTCCTGCGATGATGTTTGGTGGCGCCGTGTACCCCAGCGGAAGGAGGTGACAGCTCCCAGCCTGACACCTCTGGGGGAGATAAGCCATTTGGGAAGGTGTCAGGGCACAGGCCAGCTTGAGGGGGGAAAAATTCAAGAGACCCCATGGCAACCAATGAGCCCAGTGTGGCATCTCACTCCTGTATAACCGCAGGTGTGCAGGTGAACACACGTGTATAGCTGGCCAGGGGTGAAAGAAAAAGACATGGCAAGATCCTATTTGAAGAATAACTAAAGCAAACAAGGCCAGAGCCCAGTGCTGCCTAGCAAGCACGAAGTCCTGCTCCAAGGCTGACCTTCAGTCCCCACCCCCACCCATCCTCAGCACACACCCCTGCCTGACCTGACGTCACCACACACCAGGCACACACCACCCCTGACCCCTGACCCCCACCCGAGCCCGCCCCTGACCCTCGGCTGCATGTGCCTTCCACTTACTTGAGAAGCCAAACTCTGTGGCCTGGCCTTTGATGGCCAGAAATCACCTGCCACACACACCCCGGCCGCTGACTTCAGGCCACACCCCCCAACCTGGCCTCTGAACCCGACCAGTGAGTGTGCTTCGGATCAGTGTCTAGCTCGTTCTTGGCGCAGCCCGGGTGTGGCGGTGTTGATCTTTAAGGAAGGTGGGGGCGGGCAGTCCAAGCAGGACCCCAGACACCCCCCACGAGCACCCCCGATCCCCACCCCAGGTCTCCAGATGCCGGAAGTGTCGCAAGCGCTACGATCCGGTGCCACCCGACAAGATGTGGGGCCTGGCCGAGTTCCACTGTCCCAAGTGTCGGCACAACTTCCGGTGAGGGCGCGGACCCCGCCCACCCGAGCCCCGCCCACCGCCCGACC